CGAATATGAAGTCGGCCTGTACGTCGTCTGTTGTTGATCCAGCCATCTCCACTGTGCGTAGCATATGTGGCCAGTCCAGGTTTTCGAACAAGGCTACTGCTTGGGGCTGTCAGCATGAAGAGGATGCTCGTAGTCGTTACCATAGCATCATGGAGAAAACCCATGACGACTTCGGCATGACTAGATGTGGTCTATTCATAAACCCGAACTACCCACACATTGCAGCAAGTCCAGATGCACTTGTAAATTGTTTATGCTGTGGTTCTGGAGTCATTGAAGTTAAGAGTCCATATTGTGCCAAAGACAAACTTTTAAATGAAGCTCATCTTGGGTATTTGAGCAATGGGAAATTAAAAACCAATCACCAGTATTTCTACCAAATACAAACACAGCTGTTAGTTACAGAAAAGGAATATTGTGACTTTATCGTGTAGTCTGAAAAAGACATTTCAATCGAGAGAATCGGAAAGAACAATAATATAGTCGGTGTGATTCTAGAGAAGTCAAAAACATTTTTCGTAGAAGTAATTTTACCAGAGCTGACTGGTAATCTGATTTCAAGGGAGGTGCAACGTGTTATGAGACCTGCAGTTCATCAGCCCCCAACAGCAACAAATACTGCAGAGATAATATGTATATGCCAGACACTGTACAATGAAGAAATTGACAATGTTGTTGGATGTGACAATGCAAACTATGTTTACAGATGGCTTCATTTCACATGTGTCAAAATAAAGAAAGCCCCAAAAGGGGCGTACTATTGTCGAAAGAAGAAAAACTTGTGTTCACTTAAAGTGGTCCGATGTGACTTGCCGGACAATTTAGCGAGTAGTTAATTTCGCGGTTAGAGAGCATGTTCGCATTCAGGTTGTTATTTTCATGCATTGTCATATGTAATGGTGATATATAATAATGTATTATAATAGGCGCGTAGTATCATATATATATATCAGCATCCGTTCATCTGCGCGAGATCGTGTATCTATATGCAGCAACGTATCACCTCTGGTTGTGAAAATGGCGTCAGCATGTGGAATGGCACATGGGTCCACAATCACATCTACCCATTGTTCTGTCATCTCGAGTCTCTGGACTCTTCCATTTTCCATGGGGGTGAAACTTGGCGGACATGCACAACCTGGACTATTCAGAGAGAGCGTATGACATTACCCGCATCGACGTCCGTATGTCGAACAAAGCACCCAACGAACAGTGTGTCAAAAACTTAATTCAGAATGAGAAACAAGACATTTTAGAACAATCCGAGACCAGGAAAGAGCTGACACCGAAGGAACAGAAGGGTTAGGAAAAAAATAGGGTTAGGCACTGAACATGCGCAGCGCACAAGGTAGACAACATCATCAATGCCATGTCCAGTGCCGCACAACAGTTCTTAAATAAAGAGGGTGATAAACGAAAGATGCACGGAGCCAAAAAGTAAATCTATGAAACAAACAAACTGATGTGTCAACACAGCAAAAAGAAGTATAGCAGGACTGCATGATGTTTGCAATGGATGATGGTGTATATCAAGAGTCTGCAACTGCGCCACTAAAGCCCATATTGGGAAATAGATATATAATATTTCTGCTAAATAGTATTCCCACACTTGTTGCCAGAGACATGATTGTGGTCTATCTGGAGTCTCTGTGGTGTATCTTGGTGTCCCATGGGTCTTTATGGGTGTCCCATGGATCTTTATGGGTGTCCCATGGGAGCCCCATGGGTATTTATGGGTGTCCCATGGGCACCCATGGGGGTCCCATGGGTATTTATGGGTGTCCCATGGGCACCCATGGGGTTCCCATGGGTATTTATGGATGTCTCAGGGGCACCCATGGGGTTTCCATGGGTATTTATGGGTGTCCCATGGGTATTTATGGGTGTCCCGTGGGCACCCATGTGAGTCCCATGGGTATTTATGGGTGCCCCAGGGTATTTTTTGGGTGCCCCATGGGAGTCCCATGGGAGTCCCGTGGGTATTTATGGGAGTCCCGTGGGTATTCATGGGAGACCCATGGGTATTCATGGGAGTCCCAGGGGCACTCATTGGTGTCCAGTGGGATCTATTTTCTCCCATAGCCTACCCATTGGAACCCGGCCATACGGATAGTCAATTGTACCGTTGGATTTAAATTGTCTTATGTGCATTTTCTATAATACTATATATTATATTCTCACAGCATTTTGTTTAATTTCAAGCTTCATATAGTACACTTTTAACATATGCAGCATATAACTATCTACATTATAGGTGAAAATTTTCTTTAATGGGACTTTAACAAGCAACATTAAAACGTGTATTGTATAGCTGCTATAGTCTGTCGCATCAATATACCATCCACCAACACCACATATGGCTTGTAAACACTTTTAAAGTTTTGTGATGAAATTATTTATATTCACAAGAACGAGTTT